GGAGCATTACTCAGCCCCTGTGGCATAACTAGCCACTCCCACAGCATCCCGTTGGGGGTACTCACTGCTGTGAACGGGATGTCCCGTTCATGCATGAGGATCTGATAGAATCCATCCATCAGATCCATCGACGAAAAGATGGTACTCTTTGGCATACCATCTATGATTACGTCCTTCCTCGGTATCGGCGTCTGAGCCGGTACCGTTGCAGCATTAAACTTGTTGAATGCGTGCACTATCCGCCATCCTCCTGTGGCTTTTCGCACACAGAAGGTCGGAGAGCTGTGAGGGGATGTTGATTCCCTCACATGGCCCGCTGCTAAGCGATCGGCAAAGAACTTGTCGATCGCTATCACTTGTTCACGAGGCAGTGGCCACTGCTTCATGACACAGTATTTCGAGCCCGGTTTGAGCTCGATCTCGTGTCGAGTGCCTTTGTCTTTAGGCAACTCGCAAGGCACAGATTCAGGGAACACGTCCTTGAATTCGTTCAAATCCTTGTACAAAGGATTTGCCTAAAGTGACTCCCAGGATTGAGACGTGTATCGCTCAATCCGAGTCTTCTCATCGAGGACACTTTCGTCCGTCGATGTGCTGCTGAGAACCCGTTCGTTCTCAGTAAATACTGTTGCCGACCGAATATCGGCCACATAGTCATCCTCTGTGACGAGTATGCAGATCTGCTTGACTTTGCCACTACGCAGATCACGCAAGAACCGTTTCGGTTCTATCGTTGGCAACTGAGTTATCTCCGAAGTTGACTTCGGAGGCACAATCAGATCAAGCGTATAAGCGCCTACGCTTGATCCGTCATTAACCAAGACGTTCAACGTCTCGGTTTCTTCCTGAGAACTTGCTCCCACAGGTTGCTGACGGCCTGATCCCTCAGCAAGTAACTCTTGAGGCATTCCTTCCTCAAGTACGTGGGGACTTATTTACTCGACGTCTTCTGACTGTGGCTGTGCAACCACAGTCAGGCACCGATCCTCTACGGTCGACTCTCCAGTCGACCTAGGATTTCCATGTTGCCCTTTGAAGGCTTCAGGTTTATTTTGTCTATGATGATGCCCGCTAGGCATGCATCCATGTCCCGGTCCACTCGACTTATTCGAGTGGTGGACCTTCGGCGCAGCCTGTACTTCTGTACAGCCGCCGGGAGCTTGCTCCAAAGTGTAGTGATCAACTACACTGTGATTTTGTGCAGTCGTGCTAACGACCGTACCGCAAGTGAGGTCATCGTACTCACTCGCAGTCCATCCACACGCTTGTGGACGCTCCATGACGTTCATCAGATGGCCGTCTGATGAACAAGCGGCAGGCATCTTCACGGATCGATACTGCCAGCTCACTCTTGGCTCGTACCTTCTTAGCCAAGGTAATCCCAGGATGACATCAAATTTGTCATCCAGATCCTGTACGATGAAATCATCATCGTACTGTTCGCCTTCTAACGTGTAGTGGATTCCTACTACACGTTTCTCAACGGTAATCGATGCGCATGTTGCAAGGCGCACCGTCATTCTCGTGAGGGGAATGTCGCGCTCAACGAACTTGAGCCAACGACCCTCTAGTGACTGGCGTCGAACAAAGTTGTTCGACTCCCCACAGTCTACCAGGGCACGAAGTGACAAATCTTTTGTCGCTTCCAACTTTAAGGTGATGAGCGAAACGTCATCATCAGGTGCAGAGACACACAATGATTGTGTATCTGGAGAAACTTTCGTCAAGAGATTTGCAAATTCTCTTGAGGTTGCTGGATCAGTAGGGCGCTCCGCCCCTACTGACCCCGACCATTTTTTGATGGTCCGTCACGCTGTTGCGGCTTCGCAACAGCGCTGGACCTACGCCCATTGCCCTTCTTGGCGAATGGTCGTCCATTTCGCTCAGTACTGTTTGGTACTGGGCGTGGAGCACTACACTCATATGCGTAGTTCCCTAACTTCTGACAGCGATTGCACCTCTGCAATCGCTTTATGTTTGAAGAGCGAGGTCTCTCGATCTCAACATAACAGAGGTCCATTGGTTCTGGACGTCCGATCTCTTGTCGTCTTGGAGGACGATAAGAGTTTGAGCTAGCATGAGCCTGTCTCATGCTAAAGTCTTCCTGTTCCGCGGCTGATATCGCATCTTTCAGCGTATTAAGCTCAAGGCGGAACAGGTGGCTCCTGACGGGCCCTTCTGCGAGCCCTTGCATGAACACCGTAATCAACGTGTGTTCATGGACTGGGTTAGCAGTTATACTACTCGCGAGGAGTCGTATATGTTTAGCGTAAGCGTGCACATCACGCTTACCCTGCTTGAATTTCAGGAGCTCTGAACGAGCCCTGAACTCAGTCCGTGGCGGCTCAAACGTTTGTCGGAGCCGGGACTTGAAGTCATCTAGCGACCTAAACATATTTGGGTCGCTACTCTCGAGCCCCAGGGACCAAGTTTTGGCACGCCCTGCCAAGTGGGTCTGAGCAAATGTGAGTTTCATTTGCTCATCTTCGACGCGACGAGCCCTTGAGGCTCTGTCGAGTTCGACAAACCATAGTAACAGGGAGTCCTCCGGGACTCCACTGTACATGGAGATGTCAACTTCCATGACCTCGGGACGACGCGCATGTGCCGTCCCGCCCACATCAGCATGGAATTGCTGCTGTCTCAACAGCTCTGTCTGTTGAGCACCGAGTTCTCTCAACTGCTCGGTCTGGTGAGAGCCTTGCTGGTGAAGCAAGGCTACTTTCTCCCTTTCGGCGACAAGTTCATGTTGTATGAACTTGGCTATAGCGGCATGTTGTTGGTCTCTGTCTAGAGACTCCAACATGGCGCTAACGACGAGATCGCCTACGGTAGAACTCATTCGTTCTACCGCACCCCATTCGATGTCACTCAAATGGGTAAACCCTTCACGCGTGGCGTGAAAGGTCTCTTCATCATCCGACATGTTCATGTTGGATGTTGTGGTCCTTGGAAGGACTACAAAGTGCTACCAGGTGTAACGGGGCACACCCTTGCGTGAACTTAACGCAAGGGTATCGGTGCCCCGACAGACGTACACGAGGCAAACGAGGAAGCGTAGATAGGGGAAAAGTAGAACTGTTATATTAATATAATTAAGTCTTTTAACTACTGTCTCTCTGTTTGACTTAACTTAATTATACTAATATAACTGAGTGTATGGTGACGTCTCGTCACCACTCATTGCGCGCGTCTTGCGGCGATTGGTGGGATGATATCATCAAGATATCAACCAATGAGCAGACTCTTTGGTCGACCCATCAATATCACCACTTTGGTGATATTGCTCAAAGAATATTCAACGTAATATTCTTCATTGTCATTATCTCTTCAAATGACAATTTCCATGTAACGGGCTGCCCCGTTACAAGGGAGCTACAACCTCGTTGAGGTATTGATTGTGAGTGCAAGAAAATTTCCAATTTATCGTCTGGACACGCGGCCTTTACTCTACATGATATCAACGCTTTGTCGCGAATGAAAGCATGATCGCTTTCCTCTCTTTTACAGCTTCACCATAATCAATAATGCAGACGTATAGCTCAATGTCGGTAGCGCTTTCGTCTGGAATTTGGCAAAGGGTCTTACCTGACCGATTCCGACGATGCGAGATTCGGCAGGCGGAGCTTGTTGGTTGTTAAATGAAAGGCCGATAGCGATCGGTAGCACACACTTGCTCCTCTTTACTGCTTGACGACTGTGTTGCTGATAATGTGAGGATTACGGACGCTTCAAAAACATCGAGACGTGTGCAACTGAATAAGCTACGTAGCCTGACGACTTGCTTGCGACGAAGGTTTTCTCGCTTGACCACATGTCCGCCAAAAACCAGATACCACATTGTTGAGTGCTGAAGACGATGCATTTCGTTACAATTCGCCTCTAGCGCGCTCGTAGCTGAGACTTTTACATGGTGGAACCAATGGATCTGATCGACTAACCGGAACGAACGAGTCAGGGTGATCGCAGCCTTTTCTATTGTCAGTCATTGCCACGCAACCTGCGTACTAACGCATGCACAATTAAACGCTACCGAATACACTTTACGATTAAACTAGTGCACGCTAGCTCTCTACATACACGTCGGGACGATGTCCTATACTCTAACCTGCTTCAGTCCACTTGCTCCTCCTGGCACTATCGTAACAAACCGTCATCAAACCGAGAGTCTAAACTCAGCTGCCGCGGTTCACCACTCGCAGTGCCCTTGCAATGCACAGCTGCTTAGCGCTCGGATGTAAACAACTCTAACAAGCGTTATAGCTGCCATCCGTTGACCGAGTGGGCAGCAACTCTTGACTCGAGACCGTTTGTCAATTGTGCCGACGTGGCCACCCGCGGACAGCGGCCAACGCCCACCTCTCGATGAGTAATGCAGCTGCTCATACGCAGCGATAATTGGGCACGTAACGGGATCTCTGTCGTCTACCAACACGCAAGTCCCCCAAATGTGGTCAGAAGTACATGCGAACGAAGCTTCGCGTGCGCTGCAGAGGCTTTGCACTCGTGCGAGTTTGCTCACCTATTTGCGTCAGAGGCAGAGGAAAGATCTGTTTCGGCACACGCGATACAGCCCGTTCAGAGGTTGCGCTCTCTCACCAACTGTGGCTACAATTGCGGTCACTGCAATCAGATCGACGTATATATGTCGTCTGCAGCGACGTGCAACTGATCCAACAGACTGAAGAGCTTTCTGTGCGCACACCAAAATTAGCGCTCGTCGCATACCGCTCTGCTGGTTTACGGTGTCGCGTAGTAATTTGCCACGGGGCGTTTCCATCCAACTGCCGTATGAAAAGCCCGCGCTGAACTCTGTCTCGAGCCCACGAAAAGTTATTTGGGCCCACATAAACATTGACAGACACTCACTCACACACACACGTCAACGGATTTCTACCGACGTGGCCGCTGTCAAGTCTGCCTCTTGACGAACTGCGTCCGTCGGGTCTGACTCTGTCACTTGCGTAGACGCTCAGCAGCGCAGTTGTACAGTGCGACCGATGGCAGCAGCGCCGGCAGCAGAGGGAGCGGTCCACGCGCTCAAGAAGCTCGAGGCCAACAAAACGTGCGTCAACTGCGGCGCGTACAACCGCTTCGGGCACCAAAACGTCTGCGAAAAGGTGCGCACGTTCGTCTGCAGCAGCTGCAAGAGCGCGCACCAGAGCTTCAGTATGCGCGTCAAGAGCGTGAGCATGAGCAACTGGACGATGGCCCAAGTGGACGCCTTGCGCGAGCGCAACGGCGGCGGCAACGCCCGCGCGGCGCGCGTGTGGTTCGGCCGCTGGGACGAGTCGCTGCTGCGCCGGCCGACGAAAGACGACCCGTTGGAGTACTATAAGCACTTTATCGACCGCGTGTACAATGACATGGCGTTCTACGAGGCAGAGACAGAGGAGCCGACAACGGCAGCGACAACGGAAACCTCATGTGGCCAGTTGTCAGTAGCAGTGGTAAAGCCAGCGGTGATGTCGGACTTGTTGGATTTGGACGCTGCAGCTCCCGTGGGCGCGCACCCGACGGCGCCGTTTGACGCGTTCGGCAGCTTTGGGCAGGAAGACGAGTGGGGGAACTTTGAAGCTGCAGTGGCTCGGACGGATTCGGACGACGAGTTCGGCGCGTTCGCGTCGGCTGTTGCATCGCCTTTGACGTCTTCTGCGAGCGACGAGTTTGCGGATTTTGGTGCTGCGGTTGCACCTGCGTCGACGCACGCGGAGGCGTTTGGAGCGTTTGCATCGGTCGCTCCTGCGTCGACGACGACGACATCGGCGATGTCGTTTGATCCGTTTGTGACGCCGAACGGGTTTGCTGCTGTGAACGTTCCGGCGTCAAGTGGCGTCACATCGTTTGGTTCGTTGACGTCTGCACCTGCGAGTCGAGTGCAGCAGCCGATGGCCACTGCCGTAGCTCCAGTTGCGGCACGAAAGGACTTTAGTGTCTTTGACGGACTATCGACTTTGCTGCCGACGTCTGGCGCTGTTCAGAGTGCTGGCAACGACTACAAGCGAGACCAGACTTGGGGAGGAATGCACATGCAGAGCCGCAGTCAGCAGCAGCTTCGAACGTGTGCGAGTGCGGACAGACAGCAGCAGCAGCAGCAGTTTGGAGGTCACTACCATCAGCAGCAGCAGCAACCGATGATGAATGGCGGTGGGGCTGGCAGGAACATCAGCTTGTACTTCTCGCCCGACGCACCTGACGCTTTCGGTAGAGGTCCAAGCGCCGGTGCAAAAGTCAGCAGGAGGGACCCGTTCGCAGGCTTAGGACTGTAGCAACTAGAGGTCCAGGCGAACAGCAGCGGCGTACCCGCCGCCGCATCACACATCACTGAAAACACGTCAACGATCTGTAGAAACGAAAGCGCTGCACGCGAATTGATTGAGCATTACAGCAGAGTGGTTTGCCAGCCAGTTGCTGAAGACAAAGCACAGCACGAGAGAGAGCGACAGTCGCCTGTGCTCCTGTACACCACATCTCCACTTCTGCATCACTCACTCTTCTTCCACCCGCCAAAGCCAAATAAAGTCCACACGATACCGTCTTCTCCTCCACTCTGTCCTTCTGCTGCTGCTTTGCCGCCAACACAGTCGACTCGCGAGCCGACGCAACCACAAATATAAAATAGAGACGACCACATGACTCCAGAGAGAGAGAGAGTACAGCAGTCGAATGCACGTCGTCGGTTGCGCGCCTACGTCGCCGTCACCGCTGCGACGGCGCCATCGCTCTCCGTGGCCGGTTCCTCGCGCTTCCCCGCCGCGATCCGCTTCGTCTGCGACGGCACGAGCCGCCTGATCACGGCCGAGCTCGCGGCCCCGAACGCCGGTCGGAAGTGGCTGTAGAAGAACGCCACAAAGGGCACATTGGTCAGCACCGAGTAAAAGTCGTAGTGGTCCGTGTGCGACGCAATGCGCCCGTTCTGGAGCTCGAGCACGGAAAACACGCGCAGCGCGACCTGCATGAGGCTGGGGAAGGGCTTGAGCCGGTACACCATCGAGCTGTCGATCGTCAGCACCGACGCGCCGGCCATCGAGCCGCGCACGAGCGTCGCTTTGCTCGAGCGGACGAACGTCGACAGGACGCGGAACTGCGCTTGGATGTTAGCGACGCCGCGCACCGACACGAGGGGGTCCGTGAACACAGCGTCGGGCAGGTAGTACTGGGCGATCGTGGCGTCGCGGTCGGAGCTCACGTCGTAGAGCGACAGCACGTGTTCGGCGAGCTCCTGCGCGTTGCGGGAGGCCATTCTGTCGGTCGATGGGTCTGCTTCGCGGCGAGCGGTAGTGCTTTGCGGGTGTGTCAGGAAGTGAGTGTGTTAGTAAGTGGGTGTGTTAGTGTGGGGGCTATAGTGGGGATCGCGTGGCGTTGTGGCCAATGGGCGGAGAAACCAGTTGTGGGCCGTGGCGGTGTGGCGGGAGGTAGGACTAACGAGAAGTGGGACGGTCCTGCAGCGGCCGCGAACGACGTTTAGTTGCGTCAGAACGTCATTTGTTGTCGAGTTAACGCGAGATTTGGAAAAATTCGTTTATTGAGCGAGGACTATTGTAGCAGCGATCAAGTTAGTGGCAGACGTAGAATTGATAGGTCTTTTGTATGAAATATAGAGACCACTCTGAGATCTGACTAGATATCTAGTAACAATGAAGTTAATCCGCGCGTTCATGCTTCGATTTATTCGATTTTAAAATTGATTTCCTTTATCGCTCCAGCTACGAAATAATCTATTTGTTATGGTATTGGGAGCCGCTAATGAGCCCTCAGTTTTCACTAAATGAGCCTTCACCCTTAACATTAAACAAGTCATTGGATTTGAAGGTCTCTCGAGCCTAAAATTGTATTGATGTACTTTAAAGAAAAAACGTTTATTCATCTCATATTATCTAGTCAATTGGACCCGTGACAACCTTCCTTCAAAGCCATATGAAAGGCCTTATCCAAATCACAGAAGAGCTGTTTGATTCTGTAAACGAAGCCCGCCACGCGCTTGACGAGCTGACACTACCGGAAGGCTATGTCACAACTATTTAAAGGCAACAACGGGTGGGTAACCGCAAGGACGGTGAGGTTAAAGCAGTGGATCTGCAATGCTCATGCAACGGCCGCCGAACTTATTCTAACCGATTCAGGTATAGCGCCTCATCGTCAGCGCATGGACTCCAGCCGCTCCACTAGCTGCTCCTTCTCTGCCACGATTACACGACAGCAACGTCAAGAACAACCTGACAAGTTGTAACGGGGCACTGTTGACTACGTACTGGTTGACCAGTACGGAGTATAATTCCACTGACGACAGTGGTCGACAGTGCCCTGCCAGGTGTTGAAGGAACACAGAGGAAGGAAAGGAGACTAAGTAGTCAGACTAGTCTCTTGTAAAAGTAAAACTGCATTAATATAATTAAGTCCTATAACTTCTTGAATCTCTGTTGTCCTGACTCAATTATGCTAATATAACTAAATGTATGATAACGTCTACTCACCACCCATCGCCAGCGTCTGGCAGCGATTGGTGGATTGATATCATCACGATATCAACCAATGATTAGACCCTTTGATCATCTTCAACAATATCACCATGCTCTGTGATATTGTTAAAAGAATATTCGACGTAATAATCTTTATTGTCAAATTGTTTACATGACAATTTCATGTAACGGGCTACCCCGTTACACCAGTGGTCGATCAAAGTCACTCATGAGGTCATTAGCATGATTCCTTTGTAGATATCAAGGTGCATCCACGTGTACGTGCTCTGACGGAAGAACAAGAACAATCGGTCATTGTTAGTCTGCGTGCAGGCATCAGCGCTGGTCGCATCGTTGCCTCCCTACGACAATCTGATATTGTGGGTGTTAATGCGCGCAGTATTTACGACATTCGCGCATTGGGGCGCCGCAGATTGCTAGAATGAAGGTCTCCGCTTACAAACTTGCTTGAGAGTCTAGCAAAAAGCAATGACCAAAACAACAATGCGCCGTACTACGCGAAATTCGATGCTGAGCGGCATCTCACGCGTCCATTTATCGTGGATCCCTCTGCCAGGGAAATCACTTCCTATTTCAGCGCGAGTCGGGTATTTTTGATTGACGCCACTTGTAGCGGAGCTACACAGCTCCTTAAGTCAGAGGAAGACTTAACGCTCTTTCGAGCAACTTTGGTTCTACGAACCCGACTCAGAGAGTCAACAAGCTCAGAGAGCTTACGGTCCCCGTTCCTAAGGGACCAAACGATTTAAAGAATCACAGCACAGAGTGCTCAGGAGTAGCTACCTTCACAGGTATTGCTAGCTCCTATCGATCAAAGACGCCTAGTAAGGCACGTGTCTCTTACTGATCAAAAGGGGAACTGAATTTTTATTTCTTTGATTAACCTAAAAGAACACCTTAGAACAACGTATTTAACCTGCCTTAAATAACCTCTTAAAAGATCTCGCAATCAATTGATGACAGACATCAGTCTTCAACAATTGATACACTCACTGTGTTCTAAAATTACTTTATAGGGTGGCCCCCCTCTCTTGTGTGCACCACACCTATCGTCGACTACCAGCCGACGTGTAACCCCGTTACACCACTTGCAAGACTAATCGATTTCGACTACCTCTGCTGCACATTGTGGGCGTAACTGCGACCAAAAACAGCTACACTTTCGCCTATTGCTCAATGAGAAACGAGACAGAAGGCGACTACATCTGGGCGATGCAGGACTTGAGGCGGGTATTCGAAATGTTCGACATCGCCACACAAAAAACATTCGTCGTTGATCGCGAGATGGCAATAATGAACGCGCTAGGTAACTGATTTCCCTTTGCTAGGACACTTCTTTGTAGATGGCACATACACATGAACATCACTGCCAAGATGCGAAGCCATTTTGAATCCACGAAGGAGTTTAAACAATTACAGCTCACGTGGAACTGCTTGGTACAAGCTCAATCAATGTCAGAGTACGACCTCCAGCTTGTTGCGATGAGGTTAGTTCTACCAGTTCATGTAATGACGTATCTGGATGATACTTTTCTTTTTTGCAAGAAGATGTTCGTGTCTTGCTACTTGCGTGGTTGCCTACATTACGGTCATGTGACAACGCCACGTGTCGAGAGCGCGCATGCGGATATCAAGAAGCGGTTTTATGGATCCACAGGTAAGAAGCATTATTTTGACCACAAATTTCGCTACAGTAACGAAGTATCCCCGTATTGATGATATATACATTCGCACTAGTGCCATTGTGGTGGAGCGGAGTCTCAAAACTGTGTAATTGGACCCCAAACCACTCACTATTCCTGTTTTCAACTTACGGGCGGTACCCCGATGCTGCGTATAGACCTTGACTAACCTTTTGTACCCGTCGGCTGGCGGGCTGCACTCTCCGATAGACTTGGACGGAGACTGAGATGTGTTAATCTTGGTAGAGGTAGACCTAAAGCCCCGAGTGAATATTTGGTCGGTGGGCCAGTAGGTGGCCACTCGATCGACTAGGTCGATATCGAGCTTAATTTTTTTAAATTCTTCAGGTAGCTTGTCGCGCCTGGCCTTTCGTATTATCACAGCGTGTTAACATCCTGGTCTATACCGTGCTCCTTTACCGCTAGGTTGGGAGGCCACTTTCACTAGCAGGTCTTGGGGAGGGGTTGCTACTCGACGAACCCACAAGCCAAATACTTCCTGGGGTTCTACTTGCGCTTAGCCTTGACATGGAACTGTCTTGAACGGAGGGAGTCAAATTATATCTCTTCTCTAAAATTTGCGGGCAGACTAAACGAATAATCCCCTAAAGCACGGCGAAGACGTTCCACGTATATCGCAAATTGACAAGTATACAGTATAGTCCTATATTTTAGATTATCCACCATATCTTTGCCTGGTGCACTGAATCTTTATGTGACTGGTCAGCAGTACCCGGACCTTGAGTAATTGGGTCTATCAGTGTGATATCCAGGTCTACCGATGAGGTGCCGGGTGTACCCGTGGAAGACCCGAGTCTACCAATGAGGGACCCAAGTTTATCGACAAAAAACCCAGGTATAACGATGAGGGGCCGGGTCTACCATCAAGGGCCGCGGTCGTCTTTTATCATTACCAACTAACCGGTACCTTGGCAACGGTCTTCCCCATGATTGTTCTGCGGGCTGCTCATCCATGGGGGTCAACAACTTTCGACGCCCCTTCTGCTTTGGACACACCCTTCCCAATGAGTGACCTCTTATCCCTTCACCGTACCGACTTCGGGGTCTATTATTCTTCATAGCACTATACCGCATCATGATGGGTGGAATTTGGCGGAAAGCAGGTATCATTACCCTTACAGCGGGTATTATTGAGAGACTATTTTATTTCTTGATATTCCTTTCCAAAGACAACGACACTGTGCTCACAAGATAAAAAATAGCTGTGGTGAAGTGACCGAGGATATTTCCGAAGGGTAAATCTGAATTGTTTGTACGGGCCATATATAAACTACAGTCGGACCATGATTCAGATACAATGACCCTTTACGACGATTGTACGTTACTGGTTTCGAATTATAAAGATGATCTGCTCTGAGTCGTGTTTTATCGATCAACTGGCAAAGACGAGTAGTTAAGCGATTCGCGATCCCCTATCCACTGATCTTGACATACTACTTACCCACATTTATGGGTAGTGGTAAAAACTTTATATAAAGCGACCCGACATTAATGATGGCAGACATGCTCAAAGAAGAATAGACCAGACGTTTAAAGAATATAGCAAAACAAGTTTTAAAAGAAAGGTTCTGGCGTAGCCGCCGCCCAAGATTCCGAAGACAAATATTGTCGCGATCAACTTCAGATGTGGACGACCTATATGAGTAAATTATCAATTTTATGTTGAACACTAAGTGTATATGTTCCATACCACGCACTCGCGATCCAATGTTCACGAGTAAGAATACGCGATTTAGCACCGAAATTCGGTATTTGAAAGTATTTATAGATTAAATTGTAGTAGATGTAGACCCCATAAATCTAGAAACCGATCATAGCCGTTTCATGACCGCGTGACTGCCGATACTGGAATATTATTGTTAGCAGAGTCTAGTCGTAGTATCTGGTTTTCTTGGTTTTTATTAAAAAGTTGTCTTGAGAAGTTTAAAGACGCAAGCGCATTTTCTTTTCGAATCAGGTCGTTTTCGTCTGTCGTACAAGAGCGAAGAAAGTCTTTTCAAAAGTTCTACTTTCAGTCTTTTGTCATACCAGCCAGGATTCTCAACATCTGTTCACCCACA